CTCACACACACACCACCCTGCGCAGGAGGGTCCAAAGGAGAACGCGCCGCCGCGCACAGGCTGCGCCGCCGCGGCCGAAGCCGAGGCCGCGCCGCGCGGCGCCGCGCTCGCCCCGAGGAGCCTGGCGGACCCCGCCGTGCGCGCCGCGGCGCTGCGGCCGCTGTCGCCGGGCCGGGCGCGGCTGTTGGGGGTGGCGCTGGGGGATGAGGCGGAGCGGGCTGAGGCCTCTGGGGGCGAGGAGGAGCGCGGCGGCTCCATTGGCGGCGGCGGCGCGGCGGCGGCGGCGGCCGCGAAAGCGCTGACGAGCCCGCCGCGGCGCGCGCTGCGGGCGCTGTTTCAGGAGTGAGGGGGCGGCGGGGCGGCCGCGGGCTTTGGGGTTGGCTGGCGTGGGGGGGTTTCATGGCCCTTCGGCATGGGAGCGGCGGCAGATCGGGGATCTGCTGTTGCTGCAGTGCTTGCTGTTGATCATCTTCATGTGTGTGTGTGTGTGTGTGTGTGTGTGTGTGTGTGTGTTTGTGTGTTGCAGCGTTGCGCTTTGTGCGTGCTTTCGTGAGAGGGGCGCGTCACACCTGCTTTGCATGCCTGTGCTTTGACTGGCAATTTGATGCCATTTGCTGGGGCCATTGAGGCGGCTGACCTTCAAGCTCGTGCTATGTAATCCATCTGCTTGGGACGTGGTTACATTCAAACTGCTCATCTGGGATGGTCAATACATTATGTCGATGCACAAGAGAGGTATCATATGGAATAGGGGTGACACAGCATCCCCCTTGCCTGCACTCAATCGCACCCCAGCCGGCAGCAGAGAGAAGGCTGTCTATGCTCAAGGGGGGAGGCCGCAGCTGCGATGATAAAGGTCATCCAGGAGCCCGACGGCTGCGGGCTGCACGCGTGCAGCAGCCATAGCAGGAAGAGCGTCGCCGAACAACGCTTTTTTGCCTTCCACCAGGCGGCCCGGCGGCCGAGTTTTTTTAAGCATCACGCCGCAGCGCTCCTTTCAGCGCCCACATGGCAGGGGGCCGCCCGGGGGGCGCGGCGCGACCTAGCGTCTAGAGGCACAGGCTGCATGCATGAGTGCCACATCAATATGACGTCATCCAAGCGCGGCGCAAGGCCCAACGGGGGCGCGTCAGCGAGGCTGTTGCCCGAGTGCAACGGTCGCAGGGGCCAGCCCGGCCGCGCGGCGCGCGGCTGCGGCGCCGCTTGCATGTGATGCAACTCCAGGGTGGCAGGAAAGGCATTGGAACGGTTGCTTTGGCCGCGCCCAGATGCAGCGCGTCGATGCGGCTCGAGGCGCCCTCGTGTGGGGGCGGGTGGAAAGGGCAGCGCAGGCCTAATGATGAAGCGCGCGTGCGTGCAAAATTGTGGGTTCCTGCGCGCACCGCCCCTGCGGCCGGGCAGTGCCCTGCAGCTGTTGGGTGCGGTCGAGGCGGCGGGCGCAGGGCGGCTGCGTCCCGAAAGCGGCGGCCGGGTGCGTTCCATCGTCTGCCGGTTCGGCGGTTGCAGCTGGGATCCAAGGGGTGGTTCATTGTCCAAGGTGCGGTGAGTTCCTATCCTATGGCAACTTTGTCCCAGGGCAGCCTGAGCAACGCATGGCCTGGTGCCAGGCGCGGCAACCCTGGGTCGCCGGGGGCGGTGCGCTGCATGAAAAGCACCCCTGGCGTCTCAGCCAGTCGGGCGGCCCAAGATTCTGAGGCTGCGTGCACCATCTCTTCCATGCAGTCAATTCACACACTACTAGATCAGATCAGATCAGGAGGGGCGGCACGGCTATCAAGCGGCCAGCCCCTTCAACGTGTTCGCCGCTTGGGGTAGCGCCGGTCCCCGCCCTTTGGCACAGCAGGCGGCTTGCCTTTCTTATCCTTCCGCCGCCTGCCCCCGCCCCCGCCGCCGCCGGCCCAGCCCTCCGCGCCGCCGTCCGCGCCGCCGCCGCCGTCAGGGCCGGCGGCCAGGTGCGGCGGGAGGCTCGGGCCGCGGGGCTCGGGCGGGGCGGAGGATGGCGCCCCAAACGACCACAGGGCGCACTCTGCTCCCTTCTGGCCCGCGATGAGCACCTGCTCGTGGAACTGTGGGGCGGGGAGCGGCAGGGCAGCGGGAGCAAGGGCCGCGGCGGCAGCGGCGTGTCGGAGATCACGGGAGCCGGACGCCGACTTGCAGCAAAGTTTGGGGACCGCCCGGTGTGAGTGCCTCTGCAGGGTGCTGTTTTAAAGTACAGAGGCTGCCTTGATGGGGTGTGTCGTTCACAACGGGCACATGTGTGCAGCAGCAGCAGAGGCTGCAGAGGCAGGTACGAGCCTTCACAGACGCCCGGGCCCCCAGTCAGCCGCTCCGACCCCACCCCACTTACCCGAAAGCACGTCACCCGCGCCGGCGCCAGCAGCTCCAGCGCCGGCCGCGCCCAGCCAGCGCGGGGGGCGCCGCCGGACAGGCTCCGCAGGTCGTACACAGCCAGGGAGCGGCTGGGGCCCCAGCCAGAAACGAGCTTCCAATCATCCAGCTGGACACCCACGCACGGCGCCAGCGCGTTGGCGGCACTGCCCGCACCAGCCACAGGCGATGCGCCGCCCTCTTCGCTGCTGCCGCTCCTCCGCTTGGAGGGTTCGTGCGTCGCCGCCGCCGCGGCCGCGGCGTCGCCAGAGGCAGCGGCGGCGATGGCGCCGACGCAGCGCGAGGTGCGGACGTCCCACAGCACCACCTGCCCCGCGCGCCCCGCCGCCACCAGGCTGCCGCCACTGGCCACGCAGTTGAACCCCAAGCCGCCGCCGCCGGCGCTCGCATCCCCGTCCTCGTCGCCGCCGCCCGCCGGCGGCACTAGCGAGAACAGCCGCTGCGCCGCCGCCATGTCCCAGCCCTCCACGCCCCAGCCGGCGCTGACCAGGTGCCCCCCCGGCGACGACGCGTCGAGCGCCGCGACGGGCCCGTCGGCCGCGAGCGTGAGTATCGGCGCGCCGCCGGCGCCGGCCGCCGCGCCGGCCTCCCATAGGCATATCTCCCCCTCTTCTCCCGCTGAGATCGGCACCCCGTGCAGCAGCGCGACCGCCGCGACCGCGCCGGCGTGGTGGCGCAGCGCGCGCGCGCACCGCAGCTCGTCCATCGTCCACAGCCGCACGACGCCGCCGCTGCAGCCGCTGACCAGCGTATCTTCATCAAACGCGACAGAAGTCAAACGGCCAGGGTGCCCCGGCAGCGTCGCGATGCGGCGGCCGGTCACGTGGCTCCACACTCGCACGCACGACCCGTCCCCGCTGACAGCCTTTGTGCCGTCGAGCGCGACGCACGTCGTGCCGCCGAACCCGGCGCCGCGGCGCGGCGCGGCGGCCTCGAGCCAGCGGGCGGCGCGGAGCTCGCTGCGGCGGCAGGCGCGGCGGACGGCGGGGACGGGCCAGGCGGGGGGCGCGGGGTCCCCGTGGAGGTCCTAAGGGGGGTTGGGGGCGTGGAGGGTGTTGAGTGTGTGTGCATGTGTGTGTATATGTCTGTGTGTAATCACATCAGTGACGGCGTGCAAAATAGCCATCAGGCCGAGCAATTTTGGCCGCGTCACTACCACGTCGCTGCCCTTGAGCAGCAGATGAGACGCCGCGCCGCTAAGGCAAGCCCATGGCCGCACCGTCTCAGGGGCCCACCCTGTCCACGCCCTCAATCCGCCTGCCCACCCCCACCTGATACAGCCGCGCC